ATATGTAAAATCAGAAAATTCCAGCTCAGAATATAAAAACTGTTTATAAATTACAGTGTTTTAACATCTTCTGATACTTTGAAATCATTTGACAATATCATGACAAAGGAAAAGAGAACACAGTCTTAAAGATAGACATGTTAAATAAATAGATAGCAAGAAATTGAAAGAAAAAGATAAAGTAAAGAGAGACTGTAATAAAACAAATTATTAAAAGAGAGTATATAGCTGTTTTAACAGACTATATCTGATTGATTTTTTTCTCTTCATATTCAGATATTTCTGAACTTAGTCATTTTCTTATAGCTGCTTGAGTTTCTAATAAAAAGTCTATTAAGTATTTAATTTCTGTCTCAGTTGAGAATAAGAATCTCATATTTAATTAATTTAGATTATACTTCTCTTTCAATCTGACTCTGAGACTATTGTATAATATACAGTGTATTATAATATGCTCAGGTGTGGCGGGCTGCGCCCGATCAATCATATAGACTATTTCATTACACTTCACAGATTTCAATCACTTCATTCTTGAATGCGTACGCTCCGATTCTCGGCCATTCTCAATCACTGATCCTCGGCCGCCATGAACGCGTACACTCCGATTCTCAGCCATTCTCAATCACTGATTCCTCAGCTACTACAAATGTGTGTATATTCTTCCGCCCTGAAGCTCCACCGCGTACACCATCATATACACATATAAATATTCATCTCAATCACTGATTCTCACACTTTCTCTTTCTTTCCTTCTTTAATGTTTTTATCTTTGTTATATAAGATCTATAATATTATACTGATCTATTCAGTATAGGCCTCTCACACTATAAAAACATTCATTATCTTCTTATTAGAAAATAATTATTCATGCATTATCTTCTCATCAGAAATGATTATTTATCAAGAGATATTTAAATATGTAATAATATGTAAGAAAGAGAAAACATAGTTAAGCAGATACTGAGTTCTCAGATAGAAGCTTGCTCATTAATCACTCTAACTCTGTAATAAAGATTTTATAAGAGAATGTTAGTGAAAGATCTGAGAGTTCTAACACTCAGATATATGAGAATACAATTACATTTCTTCAGATTTCACAGATATTATACATCTGATAATTGATATAACTATGTCTAATGATAATATGAAACTCTTAAATACAAGTATAGATGTGATGTTACAGTGACTCTGAGTAATATTGAAATTATAACAGCAACAGATAGTAGATATACATGTGACTTAATAACTTCAATACAAAGAGATTCAATGATTAACTCATATGATTTCAACATTTATAGAATTAAATACAAAAGTACTGAAAGAACACTTAGATGCTTCTATATATTTTAATACTTCTACTCTCACTCTCTACTCATCATGAAGAATGAAAATGCTCATGAAACTGAGTGTAGATGAAGATTTCATCAGTTCATTAATCAATCAAAACTAGTATATTAATGAATGATTGAAGAATCATGTGAAACAGAAGTTTCATTCATGAATGAAAGCATGTAAATCAGTATTACAAACATCTGACAATATCATCAAATATCTTGATATTCTGTTTCAAGACACTGCTATGCAATAGAAAGTATTAGATTGATTACAGAGTATCTGACAGAGAAACACTTCTCTTACAACATTTATTCCTAACTTTGATATCAAGATCTTAGAAGCAGGTGATCAATCTTGAGAGAATCAAATGAAGATTAGCATGCTTAAGAAGATATTAACTTTTGAACTCTTACAGACTCTTATAAGTGTAAATGAAGACTCAACTTATAAAGACTTCTGCACACAGCTTCAGATATTGAATGATTGTCTTATCAAGCTCAAGAGTATACAGAACAGTGATAGAAGATGTTATATCTCAGTCACTTATACACTTACACTAAAGAATAACAATGATGCAGATGTCATGAACTGAATAGATTTAAATATCTATACATAAGCAAGAGTTTCTGCTGTTTGAACAGGCTTCTGAGTCCCTGAAATCACTCTCAAAGAAGTCACTGATTAATGTTAATGTGAAGTGTGTATTAACTGTAACTGATCAGAACACATTGCTTTCAACTGCTGATTAATCTATATATCTTCACACTTAAGAGAAAGATCAACATCTGTTCACATCAATCATGTTACATTAGAGAAAGATTCAGAGAATAACTATGAGAATGTCTCAGTGAAACAGAGAAAAAATTAGCTTCTGTTCAAATTTATAAACAGAAGCTTGAAGAGGTTGAATGATAACAATTTGAAGAGAAAATAACAATAGATGTAATTCTTATATCTACTGTAATTAATAATATGTATAATATAAAGACTATGATAGACAGCAGTCTATATCACTATGCAATGATTAAATCTTCAGTTGTGAGATATCATAATCTTCAGTGTATTCTCTTATCAAAACTTTGACTTCTTACAGAATTTAATGATTTAAAAGATGTTTGCATCTGTTACATGATGAAACTAAACATAGATATCAGAGAACATCAGTATAAAGACATCTATGCATATGAAGTTGATAATCTTAATTATAATCTTATATTAGAACTTGTCTGACTATCTGAACAAGACATCATATTAAATGCTTAAAACAGAAGTTTAATATTCTCTAACAAAGATAGAGTTCACAAGACTATGAATCTGACACAGATCTCTATCAACACCTATGAAATACTCAGAAAAAGAAGTCACTGAAAGAATCACTGACAGTAGAACTATATATCAATCTATTTCATCAGCCTGGTCAATATTAAAAAGACTCTAGAAAAGTTATTCTGTGTTATAATAACAGATTCTTGTACAAAACTCTCTTAATAATATCATGAATATCTAGATATCTTCTGACAAGATAATATTACAAATATATCTCTCTTATGAGATTCTGAAGTGAATCACAGTATCAAGTTAGAGAAAAAGAATGATAAGAACTTCAAATCACTATAAGACTCTCTTTATAACATGTCTTGAGATGAACTTGTTCTTCTTTGAAAGACATTTAATAATCTGTTGAATAAGAAATTCATATGTATTAGCAACTCTTTCACTGCAGTCTCTATTCTCTTTGCAAAGAAATCAGATGAAGAACTTCAGTTCTGTGTGAATTATTGAGAATTGAATAGATTAATAAAGAAAGATCATTATTCTTTATCTCTTATCAATGAAACACTAGCTGGTATTGAACAAGCTTAATGATTTACAAAGTTAGATATCATTACTGTGTTTCATAAGATTCATATCACTGAAGAAGATGAGTGACTTACAGCATTCTGAACATAATATAATCTTTTTGAATGAGTAGTCACACTCTTTGAACTGATCAATGCTCTCAGCACATTTCAGAAGTATATCAACTGAGCACTCTGAGACTTTCTTGATGAATTTATATCTGCTTATCTAGATGACATTCTCATCTTCACTGATGAATTCAGAAAGAAATATCAAGAGTATGTACAAAGAGTATTACAATAACTATGAGAAGTGAGACTATCAATTGATATTGATAAGTGTGATTTCAAAGTCAAGAGTACTAAGTACTTAGATTTCATCATAGAAGCTGGCAAGGAAATCCGAATAAATTCTGAGAAGGTCTCTGCTATTCTTGAATGAGAGGCTCTGCACACTATGAAAGATGTATAAAGCTTTATCAGATTTGCTAACTTCTATCAGCAATTTATATGAAACTTCTCAGATATTGCAAGATCACTTACAGATCTCATTAAGAAAGACTCAGTATTTCAATGATCAGTGAATGCTGAAGCTGTATTTACACAGATAAAGAAGATATTCATTAATATCTCTCTGCTGATAACATTTAATTCTGATTATAAGACAGTTATTAAGGCTGATTTCTCTGACTATGTGACAGAAGAAGTGATATTGTAATATGATGATAAAGATGTTCTACAATTATATGTTTTCATATCTAAGAAACTGAGTTCTGCTGAATGCAATTATGAGATCTATAATAAGAAACTTCTCACAATTATACACTGTTTAGAAGAATGAAACTCTGAACTTCAAAGTATCTCTGAATTTGAGATAATCATAGATTATAAGAATCTCAAATACTTCATGACTACCTGTAAACTCACTGAATAATAGATGCAATGATCTGAGTTTCTAAGCTACTTTTATTTTACAATACACTACTGCCTCAGCAGCCAGAACTTAATGACAGACACTCTCTTATGATGAGAATAAGATATGTCATCTGATATAACAGATACATACTGAATGAATCAAGAACACTGACTCTTAGATCTGAAGATATTGATTAATCAAGATAGAACAACTCATGACACTATATATACTTCTCTGATTAGAACATCCTCTCTTCAAACTGACACTGATGTTGATATCTTCACTTCCTCTACACTGAATGAACTGTGGCATACAGCAGCTCAGGCTGATAAACTTCTTCAGACTCTCACTGAAGCAGTACATCAAGAAGTATCTCAATTTCTCTCAGAACTATGTATAAGAACTGATATCTCAGAATATTCAATCAATGATAATAATACTCTACAATTCTGTAAACAACACTGAGTCTCTCACTCTGAATTCTTATACACTCAGATAATGCAAGAGATGTATGATATATGTATAACTAGTTATTCAGACTGTGAATAACTGTATAGAATGATCTTCTAAGAGTTCTATTAATCTGAGATATTAAACAGTATCAGATACTTCATCTGAAACTGCAACTACTGTTCTTTCATTATCTTATAAAAGAACTGTAGAAAAGATCTACTGAAATCACTCAATATTTCTGATAGAATCTAGTGAGATATAGTAATTGACTTTGCTATTAATCTATCTGAGAGTAAGAGTTATAGAAACATTCTGATTATTATAAATTGATTGAGCAAAGATGTAATATTGAAATCTTATAATAAGATAAATGCTAAACAAGTCACTGAAGTTTTTCTACAGAGTCTGTTCTATTGAATGTATGAATTACTAAGATTCATAGTATCAGATCAGAGCTGTCAATTTATAAGCACTCTCTGAAATAGAATCTGTCCAATTATCAGACACAGAACTCGCAAAGAGTAAAACAGCACGAACTCGCTCGATTTTTCGAATAAGAACCCGCCGATAGATCCATCGAAAAGCCCTCGATCATACGAGCATTCTGACCCCATCGCCGACCGCATACCCTGTGTGGTGGTGGAGTTATCCAGCCAAACGTGAACCGGACGTTGTTCGAAACTCCTGTGTGGGATTATCCCCCGTTCTCCCCTATCACACCACAACCCCGGGCCAAAGTGCCATACAAATTGTAAGGTGAAGAGACCTAGCCATATGCACCAATCTTCTCGATTTTGGAAGATCCCCGACCTGTAGTTGTGGAGATATCCGAGGAGCGACCTCCGCGAAAACCCTGTCCATCTTTGATGTTCCAAAACACCAACGCCAAGTCTCACCCTCGTACCGCCCTTCCCAATCTGGCCCATCCCCGGCAGAAAAATACAAAAAGATACCTCGGCGATAATATCAAGCACATAATGTGGAAGGTGTAAAGCTTGTGTGATTGAAAGGTTGCTAGCTTTGTGGGAAGTTATATGGTGGAAGGATTAGTAAGCCAGATCACGTGACCTCACACCCCCACTCACCAGAGTAACTATACACGATGCTATATACAAAATTCGCCTTCAAATCAAGTACAGGTACAAAAAATGACTGGAAAATGTGAAGTAATGAAAAACCAGTCATGATATACATCATTTTTATCCCCCTATCCCCCTATCTTCTTTATATTCTCTTTCCAACGTGTATATTTCAAACAGTTGACCTCTTTAACACAGGCCTTGTAATAATACTTCCATTCCATGGAAGCTTTGGCGCGTGTGAGGTTTTTCGGGATCGGAAGTGCAGTGATCTCGGGATCGGTGGGTAGGTCTTCAAGACTGTCCCTCACTGAAGATTCCCCCACTGTTGATTCCCCCACTATAGTGATATCCCTTGTAGATGTCGGAGGGTCATCAGATTCAACTGTGAGTTCCGGGGAGTTCAGTGTATTCTGCACTAAAAGAGTAGGTATTCTCGCGGAGATATCATAGTCAATTCACCAATTATTAGTGGGTACAAGAAATAATGGACACTCAGGTCGAATTTCCTCATCAATGAATAGATTATCAATTGATGGATCAGGAATCGCTGCAGTCTCTTGACAGGCTGCAGTGAGTAGGCCTGGTGTCTCTGAAGGAATCGCCGCAGCCGCTTTACAGGCCGCATTGGGTAGGACCTTCGGGTTGTGTGGAGTAGTCGGTATTGATGGATCGGCAAGATGGAGGTCCTCCTGGAAGATGACGTCCTTTGATATGTATAAACGCCCGTTGGAGGGATCCTTGTAACAGGCTGACACATTGATAACCTCTGCGAGGTTTGCCATCTGATAGGTCTCTGATTCATCTGTAATGAATAGTTGAGTTCCACCCTCACTATTCTTTTCCTTCTTTTCTTTGAATTCCTTTATCCTTGCAGTGTTGTAGATTCTTCAATTATCTGGAGCACTGTCTGAATTGGTCAATCAACAGGTGCCAAAGTGAGATCTCTCGCATTCAGAACATGTAGGTGGATTTCCCGATCCCTGATGGTTTCAGGAGCCCTCTTGTGAACTGTCACAACCATGTCCAGTACAGCCTCCACGGGCCGGATTCGATGTATTGTTGCTGGTAGTTGTTGTGGCTGTTATAGCTGTCATAGCTGTGTTGACTGCAGAATCTATATTCTGCAGATTCTTTTTATCTTTTGGAGGATCAAGCCGCGAACAGATTTCCTCCATGAGAAGATCAACATTCAATATCACAGCTGTGGATTTGGAATCCTGTATCTCCTCTATCTTCTTCTGAATGTAATTCCTCCAATTGTTGGGTAGAACTGAGTAGAAGATATCAAATATCCACGCATCTGAGGGGGGAGCATTCAACATCTTCAATTTTGTGATGGCGGACCGGAACTTATCAAAGAATGTGTGTAGATTGGTGACCTGTGTGTCACCAAGAGACATGAATTCCAGAACTGTCTCACAGTGTAACTGTGTTTTGAGGACAGAGTATTCCTGTTCAATCACATTCCATAGAGTATAAGCAATCCGATTTTCATCATACTTGAAGAAATGTGATCTGACACCTGCACTCAAGAAGTTTGAGATGAATGTGTAGAGCCACCGGTTTCTGGTGTCTCAGAATGATGCTCATTCATCATCTTTTTATAGAGAATTCTGAGTCTGTTGTTTCTCTATCATATATCAACACTGTGCATCAATCAGTTTCAATTTCATGAAGATGCTTCATGTGATGTAATTGAATGTATCAGTTAGACTGTTTGATCTCACAGTATTCTTGACATCTTTCTTGAATTGAGATATTGCCTTGCCAACACAGCTATCTGATTCATAAAGATTGAATTTCAACCTTTCACTGAGATTAGAATTCTATGTGACTGTACAGGCTGTTAATGTGATGACAGAATGATTATTAACATCTTGTGATTAATCTGTAGAGAATGAGAATCTCTGTTGATGAAGTTTTTTCAGTTGTAGTTCAAGTTCTAGAACTCTTTACTTTCCCTTGTTCATCTCTAGTATTATCTTGAGATGCTTTATCTGTTGGTCTGATATTGTCTTATCTGAATGATAGACATCTGAGTGTTCAATATTCTCATCAAGAGAACCAGCTTTATCAAGCTGTCAAGTAGATTGAGAGGCCGGCCTGACTGTGTCAGAAGCTGTATTCAAACCAGCTTTGAATTGAGAGAGTGTTATGAGATGTTCTTCAATGAAGCTTTTAAAGGCTTCAGAAGGATGTTCACTGGCAGAGTGTGAGTGTGAAGAATCATCATCATTAACTGCAACTGACTCAGTGAAAAGAACATGAGATTGCAAATATGTATGTGAGCGAGATTGTATTGAATCCGCCATCTTGATATTTGTTTATTGAATTCTTGATATTCATTTATTGAATTCTTGCCAATATTGTTCTCTTTTTTTTCTTGCTTTTTTGCAAATGTGATGCATTTTCTGCAAGCCTCTTTTTTAAGTGAGCAGTAGTATTATTGATTATCAAGATCTCAAATGCATTAATACTGATAGAATAAGATGATTTTAACTCCTGATGAGTGTATCGAATGAAGCAGTAGTTCAAATAATGAGTATATTGACAAGGAATCCTGAATTGGCAGCGATTTTGTGCAAAACAGGTCTCATAACCTGTGAAAGGTGTAAAGCTTGTGTGATTGAAAGGTTGCTAGCTTTGTGAGAAGTTATATGGTGGAAGGATTAGTAAGCCAGATCACGTGACCTGACACATAATCAATGAACTCTTCTGAAGTGCAATCTTCACAGTCTGTCGCCAGTGTATCTAGACTTCAACACCAAGTCTCACCCTTGTACTACCCCTCTCAATCGCCCCGGTGGCCGAATGGTTAATGCGGCCACCCGGTAGCACCTTGGCGTGGGAAACCAAGGCGCGTGGGTTCGAAACCCGCAGGGGATACATTAAATCCGGAACTCAAGCACCTCAGGTTTCTAATAAATACAGAGGTGTACAAATCGCTCCAATGAATTGCTCTATGTTCCTGGGCTGGGAAGTTATTATCGCATGTATCTAATTGTCACTCCTTTGTATTTTCCTATGTTCTTGTTATCTTGGTGTGGTCTCAACACCTGTATTTCCTCCTGTATAACCAACACTTGACCTGTATTTAACATCACGCAAGGACTCATCATAAGCTCCGCTTGCATATGAGTATAATGAAAGAATAATAATAATAATAATAACCCCTCTCAATCTGGCCCATTCTCAGCAGAATAATACAAAAAGATACCTCAGTAACAGCATTCAATACATAATCAGTGAACAACGAGTCAACAGCACATCAATAACTATAAAATCAGTATACTTCAAGGTCTGACTTAGCCTTTAATCTCTGTATAGTGAGATATATTAAATCTAGTTTTAATATCTCAATATTCAATAGATTCTGCAAGGGATTGAGAATAGCAACACTAGATTTCTATTGAATTTGAGAATTAACTCTATATTGATATAATCATTGACAAAGTCTTCTATTTTAAGATAGAAATAACCAGTTCCTCTACATTCTGCTGATAATATTTATATTATTATATAGAAACAGACTTATATTCTCTATAATATCAAGACTCTGAAGAGAGAAAGTCTTGATAGAGAGTATACAGTAGTGTATATCTTAGCAGTTTCTATCTCATTCTTCTGCAGCAGTTAATGCAAAAAAAAGATCTTAGAAATAGTTTTTTACTTCTCTTGAAAAAGTAAGGTGTTTTTCTCTGGGTTTTACACAATATTCTTACAAAGAATTAAAAACAGAGTTGTTTTCTGTCATAATTTCATATTCTTTTAAGTAAGAATTACTTTTTCAGTGACTGAAGAGCTTTCATTAATACTTAATTCTTTTTTATACTCTTTATTAACTGATTTGAGTTGCACACTTGTTGTGTGAGAAGAATTGAATGATTTAGAATAAAATTGAATAGTTTTAATCAATTTCTCTGTAAAAAATTGATTTATTTTTTGTCAGTTTTTCTCTCAAAAACTGTCATATTATCTGATTTATTATCAATTGATATCATACTTTTTCTCACTGTATCCCAAGAAAGAGATTGTAAAGATTTTATTAATTTATCTCAAAAATCAATTTTAGTTTATTAGATTCTCTTCAAAAATCTAACCTAGTTACTGAACTAGTGTGAAAAAAATCAGGTATTTTATACACAAAAGTCTTTTATTCTTCTTTTGAAACAGTCTAATCAACTTTTCAATTGAAAATAGACTTAGAAACCTCTTAATTGAAAAAGTCTGATCAACTTTTCAAAAGAGTTCAATACATATCTCAATTAAAACAGTCTGATCAACTTTTCATTGAGTGAGAACAATGAGTTCAAAAATACACTCAGTTGATGTGGAAAAAGATGCTTTCTCAAATGCTATTTCTGAGATTGAAATTCTGAAGAGAAGAAAGAAAGAAGAAATAGAGAAATAACAAGTTCTTGAAATACAGAAACTTGAAAAAGCAAGCAAGATTCTTGAAAAGCAGTGTCTGAGTGAGATAAATGAAGAAGTTCTGTTAATTCTTCATGCTCAGAATAGACAACTACAGAAGATGATCAAGTTCAAACTCAGAATTTCAAACACAGTTCAAAAAACATTGAAAATTCCTAGTACAATCACTGACTTCTCATCTTACTCTTCTTTCTTCTTTTCTACTTCTTCTTCTTTGAATCAGAAGAAAACATATACTCAAGCAGCTGAATCTGCTGTCTCTAAACCTGCTATCTCAAAACATGCTCAAAATCCTGAGAAAACTGAGAAGAATAATACTCATACTTCTATTGATAGAAAAGTGAAGAAAAAAATGTAAAAGAAGAAAAACTTTCAAATCTCCAGAAATAGAAGACTTATTCTCAAAGTCTTAAACCAGGACATCTTGTAAAGGAACAAGCTAAACTCAAATCTCATTTTCAGAATCAGAAATAAAATTAATCAGCAGTTCTTTTCTCAGTTAATAACTGATATTGAAGTTTAAAAACCAGTTATAGCTTCAATTGAGTCATTCTTCTTTGAAAACTCTATCATTCTGACTACAATGCCTGAATTCAGTGCAGAATTTCTTATTCAGAATGAGAATCTCTGAAAATCAGTAGTAGAATCTTTATTAAACATAAAAATTCTATCTGAGAGAGATAAAAAGTGAGATAAATTCATTCTTCATGATATTTCAGTTGAAATTTTTGACTGTGAAGAAGAAATATCACTTCTCAAAAATGAATTAGAAGAATTCAACTCTATTCAACTGAGAAAAGAGTCTGTATGACTAAATTCAATTGAGTTCAGACAAAGCAGAAGAAATGCCTCTGTTCTAGTATATACAAAGACACTTAAACAGTCAAAGATCTCTGAAGTAAGAGTGACAGATTTGAAAATGAGAGTTCATGAATACAAAGACTCAAGAATGAATCTCAAAGCTCAAACACAGTGTTCAAACTGTCAAAGATATGAATACTTTACAATCTTCTGTTTCAGAGACTCAAAATATGCATTCTATGTCAGAGATCACAAAACTAGTGAGCATAAATGTGAAATATGCTTAAAAAGAGATGAAATATATCAATACACTCTGCTTAAATGCTCTAACTGCAAAGAAAAACATGCATCTAGCTCAAAAGAATGTATATTTACTTCAAGAACTCAAAAGAACTGGAGAAAAGATGAAGCTCAAAACAAATCTAAAACTGAAGAGAATAGTCAAGTCAGTAAACTCATAACTGTAAGCTCAAAAAGAAGGAACTCTCAACTATCTAAATCTTTAAACTCTAATTCTTCAGCTAAATATAAACAGAATTTGAATTCTCAAACTTCTGTTAAGATTAGAGAATTGAGAAATGACTCTGATAATAAACTAGATATAATACAAGCAGTTGAGATTTCTACTTTTCAGAATAGTTATAATCTACTATCTGATAATAGTGATTAGATTCTACTCTACTCTCTTTTAGTATGAATATACAATAAAAACAACAAAAAAAGTTTAAAAACTCTTCAAAAATTACATTTATTCAAAATAATGTGAATAGAAACTCAAATTGTATTTATTCTTATCTTCAAATTGTATTTGAATAAAAAGTTGATTTTATACTGCTTCAGAAGCTGAATTTTAATGCTGAGTAAAAATATGTCATTTCTCATTCAAGCTACTACTGCTTTTTATCTTAAAAGTCTGAGATAAAGTCAAGAGTAGTGATCTATGAAAGAAAGAGATCAAGATATCAATTTAATCTAAGATTTAATATCATGTCTGACCCTGATATTCTGATGAGTGATATTATAGATAAAGAGAATGAGTTTAATACTATACAGCTCATAAATATTTATAATGAAAAGTCATTGAAGAAAAATAATAACATCTAAACAATTGATAGAGAATTTCTGAACATAACTTTATCAAGAAACTCTATAATTGCAGGAGATTTCAATGCACATCATCTCTGATGAAATTCAGAATGAAAAAGAGCAGTAAGAGCTGATAATCTGATTGAATGAATCTTTGAGCATTCAATAGATTTAGTTAACAAGTCTGATTAATAAACATTCTTTAGAAAAGACATGAAACAGAAATCTATTATAGATCTAATCTTCATGTCACAAAATCTAATAGAAAAAAGACTTGTA